TGTGTCAAGCGTAACACAGACGGATGTAACGGAGAATCCGGTAGTTTTTCAAAATAAGACATCTTTCGTATTCCGAAATAAATAAAACGGAATTAAGCCAAGTTCTTTCTGTGCGGCCCGTTACCAAATGGCCGGCGGACCGGTACCGGTCTGCGCACCGGCGGTTGGGGACCCCTGCTGTAGTGTGGGACAAATAAAGGTTATCTTATCGCAAGCTGCAAGTGCAGACTGCTGAGCGCTCACAACTTCCGGTGACGCAGGTCACGCGCCACCGTAGGTTAAAGATTTATCTGCTTTATTTTATTTTACTTTTTTAATACTTTTTGTGAAAATGAGACTGATATGATGATTAGGGTGCAGTGTAAACTAACACAAAAATATATTACTAACATGCACAAAGACACACAAATGGTTGTTCGTTTTTTTTTCTCCTCTACACCCCTCGCAATCGACTTGGGACCAGTCCGCGATCTACCGGTCGAGCGCGATCGACGTAACGGGCACCCCTGTATTAAATAGTTTTCACTGCGATGGGTTGTCGACAGAGTTACTCACCAAAAATTTCCAAAATCTTGTATGACATAAATAATCTTTGTTTACCATTGAATAAAAAGGACCCTGAAGTGATTGAAATGACTCCGCAAGACAAAATGTGATTTGTATTTAAATAAAAACAAGAATAAAAAAATTGCTGGAAGAATGTTATTGTTAAGTATACAAATGTTTCTGGATGTGACAATATTTTTTGGACATAAAACAATCTGAATTTTTTTTCTTTTTCTTTCAGTGATTCACTCGCTCAAGTATTTCCAAACAACGTCCTCTGAAATTCCGAACTTCCCAGACTACTTGATGGTTGGTCATGTTAACGATGTTCTGATTTCACGCTACGACAGCAAGAGCAGGAAATTTGAAGCCAAACGTGAATGGATGAACAAAATTGAAATGGATGCACCACACCACTGGGAGAGACAGACCCAGTACAATATTGGCCTTGAACAGACCTTCAAAGTCAACTTTGAAATTGCTCAAGAGCGCTTCAACCAAACTGGAGGTTTGTTGACCATCAAGTTTCCACTCTTTACGTCGATTTCATGCACTCTTACACTTTTTGAGTACTGATTTATTTATATAGTATTTATTTATTAATTATATTTAAAAATATTTATTTATTGTATTTATTAATCATAAAAATATTGATATATATATTATTATTATATATTTATATTATTTATATATTTTTTATATTTTATATTTATTCTCTGTATTTATTGATTATTATTATTTTATAGTATTTATGCATGCACCCACGTGATACACACTATCGATTATTTCTGTACATCCTGTCACTTGAACTTGTGTGTGGGTGTGTGCTCGCGCGTGTGCATGACGTCTCAGGTGTTCACATGATCCAATCGATGATTGGCTGCGCATGGGACGATGAGACGGACGAGTTGGTGGACGGTTGGGAACACCTCGGTTACGACGGAGAAGACTTCCTGTCGTTTGAGTTGCAGACGCAGAGATGGATCGCAATCCAGCAACAAGCTTTCGACACCAAACACAAGTGGGACCAATTGGACAACCTTAATCAATACTGGAAGTATTACATAAGAGATACCTGTCCTGGCTGGTTGAAGACGTTTAAGAGCCACGGGGCGATGGACCTCCTCATGAGAACAGGTACGATCACGTCACAATTTACAGCCTCTCATCATTCTCTTGTACTCTTCTCAGTCCATTGTTTCCAGTTGTTGAAGTGAGGGCGGGAGAGGGGAGAAGCGGCAGTGAAACAGGCCAAAGTGTCAAAATAAGTCAGAAGTTGAGCTCTGCACATTTCTTCTTGAATCGTCGCAGGCGATGGATTCCAGAGTACTGGAGCCCCAGTAGGACATGATTAAGAAACTGTGAAATTGTTTGTTGTCTTTCTGGGGAGTCACCAAAACACAAGCGTGTTGTGAATGACCTCAACTTGCTTTCAGGAAACTTGTTCCTAATTCTTTTCATCTTTGGGATTCTTGTACATTCTACGCATGGCGGACTTTGCGCGCAGAGCTCCCGGTGATGTCCCTGCTGCAGAAGACGCCGTCGTCTCCGATCACCTGCCACGTGACGGGTTTCTACCCCTACAAAGCCGCCCTTTTCTGGAGGAAGGACGGCGCGGACCTCTACGAGGACGTGGAGATGGGAGAGACCCTCCCCAACCACGACGGAACCTTCCAGATGACGGCCCACCTGCAAGCGGAGCTGCCGGCCGACGCGGAGGACCGCTACGAATGCGTCTTCCAGCTGTCCGGCGTCGAGGGCGACATGGTCACCAAGCTGGACAGAAGACTCATCCTGAGCAACGAGCGCGACCGAGGTGAGCCAGCCGGCACGCCAACCCGGCCCGACGTCTTCCTTCTCACATCTTCTTTGCTCTTGTCCAGAGGAAGAAATCAGGAAGATGACGCTGGCCGTGGCGATCCCCGTGGCGCTCCTCGTTCTGCTGGCGCTGCTGCTCGTGGTCCTCGTCAAGCTTCACAAAAGCAAACGAGGTGAGGGACGCAAATGCGCGTCTGGTCGGCAAGACTTGGCACCAAAACAAACTGCAACTTGCCTCCTCTTTTTTTTTCTTCCTTGCAGCCAACTACACGGCAGCGTGTAAGTAAAACGACACCTGTTTTCGTGCCGCCGCAAATGAGCGTTGAAGCACAAACGCTGCGTTTGCGCCCCGCAGCTGTTGACGGCGATTCCGAGCTGACTCCAAGGCCTCCTTCTGAGCCCGATTCTGATCCCACTTTAAAGTCCGTTTCCGAGGCAGGTTCCGAACCCGCCTCAGAGTCCGCTTCCGAGCCCGCTTCCGCGTGAGAACACGCAAGCGGTCAACTGAGTTAACCGACGCGGACTCTGCGTGGTCGTCAATCGTTCGAGGTCGATTCATGCGCGCTCGTCTTCCTCCAGAATGGCTTTCACGTCAACAGTTCGCCCTGTCCATTTTAACCTTTGTCAAAACAGGACGACTTCTTCTTGGCTCTCGACGAAGACGGATACTTTTTACTGCTCCCTCCCGCCCTCATCATCCCTGCTTGCTGATTTGTTTTTGCGCGGTCTTGCATCAAAACGATCATTAATGGAGAAGTTGACGGGTCGCCTCGAGGATTTGTCTGACGACCCGACAGGCTCTCTCTTCTGACCCCCACCACCCTGTTGGTCTTTTATTTTTAATTTTTTTTATGTGGATGCCATTGCTCTGTGCCAGGGGTTGGCAACCCTAAAATGTTGAAAGAGCCAGATTGGACCAAAAAAACAAAAATGTCTGGAGCCGCAAAAAATTTACAGCCTTATAATGAAGGCGACACATGCTGTGTGTCTCTATATGAGCTATTTTCGCCTCCAATCAAAATGACTAAGCGGCTCCAAATACACAATGAGCCTTCATGCTTAAATGTTTTTTTTTTTCCGCTGTAGTACATCCTGTCGTGCAGGGGTGCCCAACCTTTTTTGACCGAAGATCTACTTTTCGATCAACCGGCCTCCCGAGATCGACCCGTTATGGCACACGCGCATACGTACACTCTTGCACACGCATGCCGAGGCATGGGACACACTTTTGCAGCGTGTTAACTATCATAGCTCACGTGTACCATTTAAAAATGCTCCTCTCTGCCCTCCAGATTCCCATTTTCTGCCAGTACCCTCGGTGCATTCTACATGAACCGCCATTTAAAAAAAATAAATAACAGCCACCTGTCTGGTACCCCACCCTGCTAATAGAAACGTGTGTCGCAGGCTGTGACGCAAATCTTCGCTGACTGAAATGTTGAGATTTAGTATTACTTCTACACGTTTGTACAGCATTGGAAAACTTTGTTTGTGTCATGTTTTTCCTCCTACAGAAACCATATTAAAATATATTTCCCTCTCCCATCTTTTTCCATTTTCAAACATTTTTGAAAAATCTCCAGGGAGCCACTAGGGCGGCGCTAAAGAGCCGCATGCGGCTCCGGAGCCACAGCTTGCCGACCCCCGCTCTGTGCTCATGACATGTGCAATGACAATAAATGTGATTTGAGACAATGTCGTTTAGGAAACTCAGCAGTCGCTCACATGAATGCCAATCCAATGCACCTCACGCCAGGAAACTTGTGTGTGTGTGTGTGTGTGTGTGTGTGTGTGTGTGTGTGTGTGTGTGTGTGTGTTTGGCTTTTACTCAACCAGTGTGGAAAAGACACGTCACCTTCCACAGGTCAGAGTCCAAGGAATAATTATTTTTTTTGTTTTAGTTCCCCCCCCCTTTTTTTTTTTTTTGTTGCAGGCAGGCAGGCAGGGACGACAACTCATGTGACTTTTGTGCTTTTTGCGATTAAAAAAAAAAAGCCTGCATTTACTTTTCATCCAACTTTAACATCCGATACGTTTTGGTACTGAAGAAGTGCGATGGTGATGATGATAAAAACAATTAATAATAATAATAACAACTGAAGATATTAAACCGAAAGAAATGTCAGTGAAGGTTGAGATGATGTCACAGGCATGTCATAAATGATGCAAATGTGCCCCCTCGTGGTTGTCGGCAGTATAAGCTGATTTTATGATTGAACACTTCGTTCGCAACTTTTGGTAGCGTCATCTTGCCTTTCATGTTTTTGTGGAAAGGCAGAAATTTTTTTTTTTGCAAAATATGATTTTGCAAAAAAAAAAAAAAATTTTAATCAATTTTGTAATGGAAGAAAATTAAATCACCGTTGAGCCGTTACTAAGTGCGTAATGCTCAGTGGGAATTGTGATCGTTTTCAAAATTCCGTTGTCAATATTCAATAGTGCTGGACAAAATTCAACAAAAAATGAAGTCAACAGTTATAAGAATCTAAAAAACAATACAGCTTTAAAAAATGTAGATTGAAATATGATTTTATAATATATTGTCATGTAAAATGGGTAACAATTTCAAACCATCGCAAATACGTAATAACTTTTTAACTTGAAAAAATAACAACTCAATATTATTCAATACATTTGTAAAATAGTATTAGAATAATTGTATTTTTAAAAAAATTACACGTAGTGCTATTTATATGTATCATTATTTTTAAAAATTGTAATCATGAAATGTAATCATAGTGAAGAACATTTAAATCTGCTGAGATCAAAAGACATGCAATCAACTGAAAATAGTGCTTTAGGTAGAATATGTGCAGGTACTCCCCTTATTCAACTGTTGCCAGGTACATTCGACATTGGGAAAGAGAAGGTCATTAAGATAAAAAATTAATAAATTCATACATTCTATAATACAGCATATTAACATTGTTTGTCTGACTTGGAGATGTCCGATTGCATTTGAGTGCGCCTCGTGTCTCCTACGCACCCCTGACGTCATTGTTGACACTCATGTTAGCGGCTAGCCGCTAGCGCTGGAGACTTGTACTGTATCATAAAATGACGGCGGAATTAACTTGCGGTCACTTGGCGTCCTAAATCAACAATTGAACATGATTTCTGGATGGAGTTGTTGATGTCGCTGGCAACCATGTAATGGCACTAAAACTGATAAGTCAAGGTAAATACTCGAGCCATCACACCACCGCACGCGCTAACTTCAAAATAAAAGCATGGTAAGGCGATTTGTGATTGCGTCAACGTTTAATTTGTAAGTGCTTTTAACTTGAAGTGAGCCTTTGCGTTCGCGGCTTGTCACGTTAAGAGCGCCAAATAAACTGTTACCGGAGGCAGAAAAAAAAAATCCTTGTCGGTTTTTGTTACAAAAATTGTGGCACCCGAATTATTGAAGGGGTCATTTAAGTGTCATAAAATGCTAGAGGGAAACAACATACCTGTCAACTTTTCGGAGCGCCAACCTGTATAAACTACCAAAAAAATCCTTATAAAGAGCAAAAAATCCTTATAGCATACCAAAGCATTTTATATGTCAAAATAACGGCAGAAAAAAACCCACGAAATTTTCAATGATATTTATTGTAGATCTCCATAACACAATGTCTGGCAGTGGTTAATGTCTAATCATCATTCTACTTTGTGGCATTACTGGAACGTTACCGGAAATGAATGCATTCGAGTAGACGAGCACCATTCTGGGCAAAAGCAAACGGAACTACCTGTTAGGGGAAAAAACCCCGGAAATTTTCAGAATCCGTATGATTTGTGCGATACGGCCATATACGTAAGATTCACCACAAAATCCGTATGAACTTTGGCTAAACCGTATGAGTTTACAGGTATGGAAATAGAACAAGCCCATGTAAAGTACCGATACGCTTGTGGTTAAAATTGAGACGTACTGTACTGTACTTCGTACCGGCCCACTTAAAGCACTTAATATAATATTTTTCAAAAGCCTTATGAGACCTATTAAATGCGGTCATGATATTACGAAACCGCTATATATATCTTTTTTCCACCGGTGTAGGTGACTGAAATATTCGTAACGTAAACATAACACACACACACACACACAAACGCGCGCGTGAGCGAGGTCCGGTCTGTACTACTTTTTTTTTTTTTTTTTTTGTGCATGAGTAGCTGCGTAAGAGTGGTGTGCTCGCTGCGTGAACTCGCGGCGCCTGCGTGACGGTCACGGTGACGGTTTGTGGTGGTGGAGCTGCTGCTGCTGCGGGTGGGGGCCGCGCGGCCGCCGCACACTTGAGCAGGCGGGGAGAGGAGCGACGCTTTCCGGCCGCCAGGCTCCGGAGTGCAGCGAGCACGCAGCGCAGGAGGGGGGGGGGAGTAGGTGGCGGACCCTGCCGCGAGCCGAGGACGACACTGGAGGAGAGAACCACTCAGAACCGACAGCCTGCCCTGCCACCGTCGCCAGACAGACAGTAAGCAACTCCCGACACACGCCGCGCTCCCTGCCCGCCCCAGGCTGGGTCGTCTCCGGCCATCTGGGGGAAAGTTGTTCCGGATGGCGACAGCTCCGAAGCTCCCGGTGCTCGGCGCGTGTCCTAGCCGAGCGAGGAGCGCGTCCGTCAGGGTTGCGAGCTGCACGAACTGCGCCACTCCTTTGGATCACTTCAGCTGCTTTTTTTTTTTCTTTCCCCATTTTCAGCACTCGCAGCTACGTTAAAAGAACGTGTAGTCAAGTTGGCGTTGTGCAACTCGTTGTTTGCGCTCATTTACCCCTTTTTTCGGTGCATTTTTTTAAAAATGTGCGTGTCACCATCGCGGAAGTGTGTTGACACGCGAGGCGTGCAGCTGATTCCACTCCGGCTTTGATGGGTCTCCATCGGGGCTCTTCTGGTTGTTTTTTTAAGGGCTGTTAATGGACCACTAACTGTTCGTTGATTTTTTTTAGTGTGTGTGCAAAGGACACAGTGGTTTTGTGACTGCGAGACTACCCGTGATGTCATTCATCCCAGCTTGAGCCATTATATAACGGGACTGTGGGGAAGCCTGCGATAGCGAGGCTATTTTTACTCTGTTTATAACCCCCCCGATGCTACACTACTCCCAGTCCCTGGTGGTGGCCTATCACTCACGTTGTCATTTTTTTTTTTTACTACTACGAGTAGGATTGCGTGTGTGCAACTTTAGTGCAGCGAGCTGAGAACAGTGCAGCGATGGCCATGTCACGCTTTGTTAGTACGTCACGTCGAAGCGTTTCAAGCGTGTAAAAGGAACAGGAGTTAACTCAATCACGCCATTTTCAAGAACATAGCGTCCTCATGGCACTTGTTCCTAATAATTTGAGTCTCTTCAATAGGTGCACACTATATACGGGAGTTGTTGTCCAGCACTTTTAAAATTAGCTAACAAATAAATAAACATGACATCAATAAACAGTTCAATTAGATACAATACAGTATACCTTTTAGAAGGGGGGGGGGTCAAACTCAAGGCCCGGGGGCCAGATATGGCCCGCCACATCATTTGATGTGGCCCGCGAAAGCAAATCAAACATGCTGACGTCTATGATGCTTGCTAAAATTTGGACCATTTCAAATTCTCGAACGTAATATATAAGAGAGCTATTGTAAGTTTTATTGTTACCAAAACCCTCACTACAGTAACATTATTGTTGACCATTATTCTTGACTTCCTTATGTAGTTTCACAGTCATAACGGCCATAAAGGCATAATGTGGCACGCGACAAAAATGAGTTTGACACCCCCGTTTTAGAATATATAGAGTCGATTTATGCTGTCCAATAAGAGCAAAAGTGTGATGATAAGCATAGAACAAGTCCACGCAGCCACTTTTGACGTGTAACAAACACACACAAACAAGCGTACGCACAAAAGCAGAAAACACACACATACAAACAAGAGATCACAAAAAGCACTCACGGGACACACAATCATACAAAGCACACACTAGAACTCAGATAACACGAAACATGAAAACGGACGGAGATACAAACACAGAGAAACAAGTACACAAAAAAACATAACCTCAAGCTCTCGTGCGCACACACGAGCTTGCACAGCGAGTAAGTGACAGCTAAAGTGTAAGGATAACCATAGAACAGGAAATGGCACTTTTTTTTTTTTTTTGTTTTGTTTTAGATTTTCCGCTTGTGTGTTGTATAGACGGAGTTTGTGAAGCCGAATCAGTTTAACTTGATTCTGTTGCGGTTGTTTTGCGCCTTTGGACATGATTTTGGCAGCTGGCCTCGGGGCGCCACGTTATGTTACGCTTTTTTTACTTCACTCAAATATGCGGAGAAAACATTGACATGATATAATATGATGATGAGTGAATGTTTTTTTTTTAATGTGCGTGTGTGATGACACTGTAATGTTCTGTCTTGTCAACTGCAAAGATGCCGCCGAGGCCATGTGCAACATCACACAAGGCGCTTCATTAGCATAACAGGTGTTTGCGAATGTAACGTCTCCTCACGTGTGTGCGCGCGCGTGTAGACGAGTCCTGCCGTCAGCTTGACAAACGGCGACGCTTCCTCCAAATATAACAGCACAGCGTCTTCACTCTTGGCAATAGGTTTTGTTTTTACGGCGGTGCCGTAAAACTTGCTTGTCATGTCTCCGAATTCTTGCGAAGTTGGCGTCGCCCGTTTTGTCTTGCAAATGTGGTTGAAATCCGGCCAAACTTTCCAGCAGTTTCACTTTGAAGGTCCCCTCGACATGGAAAAAAAAAGAATGCTAAAATGGCTGTTTCAAACAAAAATGACCGATTTCTTGAGACTTTTTTTGTGGGTCTACCTGTAATATGCATGCCTACTAAATTTAGTGCGCGGCCCGGTGGTCGAGTGGTGAAGATAAGATAAGAAAACCTTTATTAGTCTCGCAATGGAGAAATTCCCAATTCACAGCAGCAAAGTTATGAAAGGAAGAAGTAGAACAACAAAATATAGGAGCTGCTGGAAAGGCAGCCACTCTCGCGGCGCCATTTTGAAGTCAAAGCATGTCGGCCTCACATTGCAGCGGTGCAGGGATCGATTCAGACTCTGGCCTTCCTGTGTGGAGTTTGCATGTTCTCCCCGCGTCTGCGTGGGTTTTCTCCGGGTACTCAGGTTTCCTCCCACATTCCAAAAACATGCATGGCAGGTGAATGGAACTCTCTAAATTGTTCGTAGGTGTGATTGTGAGCGCGGATGGTTGTTTGTCTCTGTGTGTCCTGCGATTGGCTGGCAACCGGTTCAGGGTGTACCCCACTTACTGTCCGAAGACAGCTGGGATAGGCTGCAGCACCCCCGCGACCCTTGTGAGTATCAAGGGGATCAGAAAATGGATGGATGGATAAGTTTTGTGCTGCTGAGTGAAACTGATTTTGGGGCCTGTATTTTTAAATCGAATACAATTAGGTGATACAGAACCAAAATGGCCGCTTTGAACCAAAATGTCAGACATTTCCTGAGACCATTTATTTATTTTTGCGTGATCTACTCGTGACCTCCCGAATTTCACGTTGTTAAATGAAGCAGATTTCAAGGACTGTACTTTTACAAAAGAATTCCAGAGTGACACAGAGCCAAAATGGCTGCTTTGAACCAAAATGGAAAATTTCGTTTTTGTGGGTCTACTCATGATAAGCATGTCTACCAAATTTTATGTTGCTATGTAAACGAGTGTTTGGGGGCTGAATTTTCCAGTGTAATGTATTTTTATTTTTGAGACTACATGTGGAAGTCCGAGCACCAAGTCACTTATTAATCCTGCTGGGAAATCTGCAGACACACACATGCACACACTTTTGAGTTCTCCCAGGTTACAAACGGGTCTGACCAATGAGCCGAGCTGCAGTTCAAGGGCTTGTGATGATGATACATTGGCCTCTAATTGCCTGTTGATCACATTTGAATGTTGAATTTGTGGCGTATTCTGCGGTTTTGTCCTCACACAGCCTTTGAATGCCCATCAATGCAGGTAGCGTTTGAAACGCACACTTTAAACAATTCCGGCTGCCACGAAACAGTGAATCATTCCGACAAAAATGAAAAGAATATTGAGAGCCGTATACTCGTAATGGCTGGGTTGCTACCCGACCATGCAGCTAGTGATTGTGCTGTAATGTCGGAATTTGGGCTAGCACTATATATTGAATAAGGGGAGGGGGGTGGCTGAGGGGGGTCTTTTTTGAAGTGACAAGGTTTCAACTCGTCAATGCAGCTTACCTGTGAAGTACTTTTAATTCAAATTGTCAATTTATTACGACAACAAAATGAACTTTGAGGATCTTATAAGAGTGACCAGGTTGCTACCCATTTATGCATCCGGTGTTTTAAATTCATAATCCTACAATTCGAGTTGTTTTCGCATTGATCAATCATGCGACTGCGTCGTCTAGCTCAGTCCGCCCTTAGCTCGTATTACACATTCTTATTTATGCTCTCCGACTGAACTGCACGAGTTGGCGCAAATGTGTAGTGCGTGTGAGTTCAAATCGTGACTTCGGACACTAGACAGCCGCGAGGGGCAGCAAGAATGCACTCGTGCTGACGGGGCCAAGTGTGTGTGTGTGTGTGTGTGTGTGGGGGGGGGGAGTGATACGTATTTGACGGAGTAGAATTCAATAACAGGAAAAAAGCCATTGAAAAAAAACAATCCGTGGAATAGCGAAACCCACCCTGCAGCGCTATTGTGCTTGGCACACGCTGGCAATTCATGTCAAGCGTTTGGCCCCTGCGGGAAGCCTAAATGGAGCGCGTGGACAGCGGCGAGGGGAGGGTGGTGGAAAGCATCCTGACAGGGGAATGACCTCCTTTCATTGACTGTCCGATGTCCCTGCAAATGCGGTCGTATTGGAGTGACCGGATTACAAACCCGTCTGTGCAGCTACTAGTGTCTAATCCTGCAGTGCCTCGGCCAAGTCTGTGATGAGTCATTGCTTAGCTATGAGAAAAAAAAAAAACAAAAGACTATGGAGGGCCTGATTGGAATGACTGGCTTGCCACCTGTCTATGCAGCATGTATTTAAACCCGCAATGGCTTAGTTGGGCTGTTGTGAACCCTCCATTATGAACCAAAAGAATTTTGAGGGCCGCAGTGGAGTGAGTAATTTGCCCCCCGACTATGCAGCTTGTGTTGTTGTTGTTTTGCTGTTGCATTGTAGTGCGCCGTTGTGACCTAGAATGCACATACACACACACATAACGTCGATGAAGACACGTCAGGCATTGTTTGCTGAGGAGAGGCCACTTAATCGGAGCTTGACAACACGCTGGCTCGCTTGGCGTGTGTGGAATTTGTTGTTTTGTGACTCCCGACGCTTCCTTTCAAGAGATTTTCTTACCTGCGCCAAGCTGCTTCCGTGCCGTTCGTTTGTGCCTTGTTTGCCTGTCTTCAGTCGTGTTTTCATCGAAAACGCTCCCGAACCTGCGGTTAGCAACACAGCGCTGCGGATCCACCATACGTCAGAGTCTACGGGAACGCTAACCGTTGCAAAAGTGCGCCATCTGCGCGTCACGTCACATCACCTTTAAAACTATGCGGTCAACAAAGACTCCATACAGTTCACGTTTCAGTAGGTGCTACCGTTTTAGTTCGCAACCCGATATTGCGCCGCGACCGATTCCT